CTTTGCTTATTTGAAATTTTCAATAGCTTATCGTAATTTAAAATTTTAACATATTAGATTTTGAGATAGTCAAACCTATTCTATATACAGGGTGTTATTGAAATACACGTACATATTAAAATGGGGAATAGTATGCAATGACCAAACACGATTGGCACCAATTTTAACTTCAAATTCTAAAATTTAAATATTGGGGAAGAGTCCCCTTTTCCGACCTACTAGTTTCCATATTTAAAGAAGTAAAATAAATCGAAATTGAACTTACCCATAGAAATTGCACTGTTGCCGTAGCAAAACCAATTAATTCAAAATAAAGTTTATTACAGTAATTGTTCAAAATGCCGTCCATTATTATTTACACACACTTGCAATCGTCTTTCCAAAGAACTTTGAACATTAGAAATTAGTCTTGGATTTTGTCGTAGTTCCTCGGCTACCGCATTAACTTTATTGGTTAATTGTTCAACACTATTAATAGGTTCATTATAAACCAGTTGTTTCATGTGACCCCACAAAAAGAAATCGCATCGATTTAAGTCCGGAGATCTCGGAGGCCACTTAGTAGGTCCATTTCTGCCTATTCACTTTTGAGGAAATCTAATGTTCAAAAACTGCCGTACGTTTAAATCAAAGTGAGGAGGAGCGCCATCTAGTAGGTACCACATCCGTTGCCTTAATTGTAACGGTATCTCTTCTAGGAGTACTGGCAAAATATCTTCTAAAAATTGGAGATATCCTGGCCCATTTAATCTGTTCGGGAGAACATAAGGCCCGATTAAATACTGATCTATTATGCCAGCCCAAACATTTATTGAAAATTTTCTTTGATGCCCAGTTTCCCTAATGGCGTGAGGATTTTCATCACTCCAAATATGCGTATTGTGCATATTGAACACGCCATCACGAGTGAATGAAGCCTCGTCAGTATACAATAATATTTTTAGAAAATCAGGAATATCAACACATTTTTGAATCATCCATTCACAAAACTCCACTCTCTTTTCTTCATCACCTGGATATAAGGCCTGGACTTTTTGGATGTGATAAGGATGTAAACCTTGTTCTTTAAGTGTCCGCCACACAACAAATGAGGACACTCCAATTTCAAGACCTAGTCTTCTACAACTTAATTGAGGCCGGTTTTGAACAGCTTCCAATATTTCTTCTTCGGCCGCCAATGTTCTTTGTGTTCTTGTTCTCCCTCGATCTGCATTGACACTCTCAAATTTTCCATGGTCTCTTAGATGCTGAACAGTTGAAATAAACGTACGACAGTCCGGAATTCTCCGATTTGGAAACCGTTCGCGATACAGGATTTGTGCTTGCCGAGAATTTTCTCCAGCTGCCCCATAAACCAGCACTATATCCGTTAGTTCAATATTCGTAAATAGTGGCATCGTAAAAAAATATTTAAAAGTAATCGTAACAACACTTTTTACCAACTTGGAAATGACGCGCTCGTGTTAGCCAGATTCGTAAATCAACTAAAATTTTAATAATCTATAGTTTCAAAAATGTATAGTTTAAAAACAATCATTTATCAAATATTCTAGTTTTTTGATAACGAGGGTAGTAAAAACCAGTCTTCGGAAATAGAAATTAATTCGAAAATCTTGGCAACATGGTTATTTCTTACAAGACTAGTTTTCTTATCATCTGACAAAAACTTGCATATTAATTACTGTTGATGTTTAAAATAGGTAAATAAACCTAATTTATATAGGTCATCCTCAACATATCAGTGAAGTACGTTTGTTTTAGAATTAATTTTCAAAAATGAATAACTCCCTTAATAAGGGGTATTTTTAAAAAATAATATTTTTCTACATTCAGTGGGGATCTGCGCAATACCCAGTTTTAATATGTACGTGTATTTCAATAACACCCTGTATATTAAATGGTAACAAATGATACTTGTGTTATTAGGATTTTATAAATAATGATTTATAAGAAAAAATATTTCTCATTTCATTTATTTACAATTTATGCAATTATTATTTCTTATATTTAATCCAATCTGCTTTTTTGAGGTTACTTTTGAAGATAATTTGAAAATTGTTAAGCGATTTATCGAAAAACTGTCAAAGAAAAGGTAATACAAACGAATGTATTATATACAATGAGGACGAAAATTATACCCTCCTCTATTTTAACTTCTAAATGAAAAAAGATAATGACGAAACAAAAACGAGGTAAAACTCAAGAGATATTCTATTTTTGTTATAACGAGATGTACTTTAATTGAGACTCGTAAGATAGAGGAAGTTACTAGCCTTAAATTTTCTAGTGGAAAGTAGGGTGATACCTCATTTGAAAGAAATTTTTGATATTTTTTTTTTATATATATATAAACAGATTTAACAGATTTAGGTTTTTATATTTTTACAGAAATTACATTAAATAAATTCATGAAGTAGGTTAAATTTTTTTTTTTATTTAACGCTTCAACCTTAAAGGATCATTACCGGAGGTATAATACCTTATAAATGCTGTTTTTTACAATAGTATACAATGGATAATTAACATTTTGGCTAGTACAGTGTAAATATCAGTATCTTTTATAAATTTAAGTAATTTTTTAATGTTAGAGGGATTTAACACTGCACAACTGGCAATTTTTTATAGCTGGTACTTTGTTCTTATACAGACATGTTCTGAGCCTTTACTAATAAGTTACACTCTCGTATTAACAATTATTCTCTATTACTAAGGAAACGCTTCTTGTATTCACTAAAATAAATAATTTAAGAATATCAAAGGTGATTTAAAAACAACTTGACGTATTAAATTTTTCATAACTTCTTGGCAAAAGAAAAGCTTATTAAAAATTGATCTTCTAACATTATCTAACATTTCTAGGATTATTGCGGCACACAAGGATTATCAAGAATGTAATTTTTGTAAAAACAAAAAAGAATTAAAACTATTTACTTGGACGTAAATATAATCAAAATATATTTCAAATGAGGTATTACATGACTTTAATTTCCATCTCCATCTTCTTGTATTTTGAGAACATACTACAAAATGCTTTCATTTGACATCGCAGGATTTCATTAGAAAAATTCTAACTTCCAATTTAACCTCTTCCCCTCTCCCCAACTGACTTACAAGACAAAGTATTTTTGTGTTTAGTTAACGCCTAATCTAGGCCACTTATTACTTCAAATTTCAATTGTAAAACGACTGTGACAGACGGACAGACAGAGAGACATAAGTGTTTCTTATTGCCAAATTTGGGTACTAATGCACAAATTACTTGAAATATTATTTGTTTTTGTCTTACAAATTTTACCTTTTTCATGTTTCGTCTTTTCCAAATTCAAATTTGATATTATTTTATCACGAGAGAAACGAGACAAGACGAGAGAAAGGCTCTCTCAAGCGAGAGAAGCGTCTTCTCGTCGAGACGAGAGAACAGTTTTCTCTCGCCCTACGAGCCGAGAGAGGCCACTCTCTCGTCTTGTCTCGCGGCATTACTACAAAAAACTATAAAACTTTTGATTGAAACTTTTTTTTATAAAATGCATATTTTCGCCGGTATTTAACTGTAACACTTTAATTTAAACACCCGGTATACACCACATATATGTTAAAAAAAATATGTGGCACAGATTTAGCGATTATATTTTATTCTTTGAAGTATTTTGACCACAATCGAGAAAAATAAGTAATATTTCCTCAGTTTTTTGGTCCCCTATAAAATTTTACTTATTTGTGATCTATTAGAATTAGGTTATCAATATACAAATTGGGTCCAATCGACTTGTTTCGACCTTTACAATATTTGGGTCACCCTGTATAGAAGAAATATTAAAAAAACAAAAATGAATTAGTAAGGAATCCCGCAGTATTGTAATTTCCGATTTTAACAAGAATCCTAATACATTTTTATCAATAGTTTAGCCAAAATCTTTGGTCAGTACCCCATTGTAGTCTTTTTAAAAGATCACTATGGATATAGGTAAAAAGTCTATGTAAAAATTAATGCTGTAAACCGTTTCTTAAAAGTATTGAATTTAACTTGTTTTTTGTTTCAGTAAACTTTTCAAATAATACTCTTATTGTAATAATCCAGCTTATAACACAGCCAGAATGGGGAATATAAAATTTTAATGAAAATTGCCTCGTTAAAGGTGGATTGTAAATGCCATCTGGGGTTATAAAGTGTTTTACTAATTAGAAAATTTAGAATAGCTAGTATTATACCTGGTAATGAAATAAAATGCGTATAATAATCTTCAACGTTTTAAGAACTGTTTTTTAATAACTTTTAAAAAACATGCTAAAGGTGTCATTATTTATTAACTGACACAATAAATATATAAAACAATATTGTTTATAATCTTAATTAAGGTTGGAATAAAAATATTGGTTTCGTGTGATTATTTGCTTCACTTTACAAAAATATTAAGATTGGCGATTCAGTAGAACGTCAAAATAACCTTTTTAACTTTCCTCTAATTTTTGTATATTTTTAAGAAGCAATGGATAAACTAATTTGTATTTGAAATTAATAGGCTGCTAATAATTATATTATTCACAAATATACCTATCTAATTAAGTTAATACTGACCGTTGAAATTTTAGAAACTATGTCTTTAATAAGTTTATTTACTCTAAAGAAGAAGAAAAAAATAAGACTGTGGAAAGTGCATATTTTCCAACCTCAATTAGGTACTTTTTAACCTCTACATTCAACAATCTTGTATGAAGCTAATCAATCAACCAATACAGCTATATTTCTAGACAGAATTAAAATACTTTCCCATTAGACATGTAATGTATACACTATTTGCACTTACGATTTATTTTCTAGCTCAATAATAAGATATCTGCCGAACCGGTTACATCTCTGTATTATATTTTTCCTTTATGTAAAGGATAAGGTAAGTTTTTTACTAACTGTAGAAGAAGCTTCCATTTTTAAAACGCTTTCTGCAACAAAAAATGTTTCTCTTAAATAAAGATGACTAACTAGTTTCTATTTTTCTTCTCAGACCATGGCTGCTACCAAAAGAAATGCCGGGTTGACATCAGCAGTTCCGAGAGCTACTCTCAACGATGAGGAGTTGGTAAGTCAGAAATTATTAGTAAAAAAGTTGGTTTCTTCATTCGTCGCCTTGATAAATTGTATTTTTTATTTTATAATGGCAAATCTATAGTTTTTTAACAAATCAGATTATTTTATTTTGAATCGTTATCGTGACAATGAAAGACATGTTTGCCTTACAAGGCTACTTAGTTGGGATTAAATTCTAATTATTTTTGTCTTTTTTAGAAGAAAATTGATATTATTCTATAGGTTTATATCCAAAAGCCCACTGCAAATTCCGGCCGTTATCTAATAACGAAATGAAATATGCCATGATGATAAAAACGTTACACTTTATCAAATAGCACCTGTGCCAATCACTATACTGAACATAGTAGTTTAAACAATGGCACTTTTGGTGTCATAATTGGAGAGAAATATCGCGATTGGATATCCATATAAGGATTATGTCATCGGATTCTCATTAATTATTAAAACTCAAAAAAGTGAAGTTAAAAGGAATTGTAACATTGCAAATATTAACTAAGTACTCATCAACTAAATTCAATTTATCGATCGTCATTAGATTGTTCTGACTGAAGAGCTTCTGCATTGGTATGTAGGTGAAATCTGGCTTCATGCTTGCCAGCAAACATTTTGATTTCCACTTTCAGTATTAGAATCCCAAGGTCTCGATAAAGATATACATGGCGCACATATTATAGGAAGGTGCACTATGTTGCGCAATACTTTGTTCTAAAAGGTTTGGATAGACTTAATGTTGCTATTTGTGGCATAATCCTATAATTAAATGCCTTAAGCCACATGGGTCTTATGACCTGTAGATTAATATTTATGTACTGACAGTTTTGAGTTCCTTTTCAAGAGACAGTAGTGTTGTTTATATTTTAATCCCAATTCAGTTCTTTTCTTTTTATCATGTACTTTCCATCGTAACTTAGCATCAAAGGTCATGCCAAGGTACTTTGCATTAAGCTCATTAGGTACAGTCTTTCCGTTGATATTTAGAGAGAGAGAGAGAAAAAGAAAGAGAAATTCTGCTATTTTTTTATTAGTGAAGTTCACATGAATAGATATAAGTTCATTAAACCTAATTCTTTATTGATTGGTCCATCTGATTGCTAGGTTTGAAGTTTTCTTACTGACCTTGCTTGTACCTGATCAACTGCAAGTCACTAGTGTAGAGTAAGTTTAACATTGGTCCAAGAACACTTCTTTGAGACAGTCCAGCTATTATTTCTTCCTGCTTGATTCTGAAAAGCATGTCTTAGATATATTGCTTCAATCGCATTTTTGATTGTTTGTGAACCAAACCTTTATGCCACACCTTATCAAAGGCTTCGGTAATATCTAAAAATACTGCATAGCAGACTTATTTTCATTCAAGGACATGCTCTGTGAAATTTGCACTTGGTCAATAGTTGAATAATTCTGTCGAAACCCAAATTGAAAATCAAGTATCAATTTTTCATCTTCTATTAGAGGTCCTAATCTCTTTACCGGTAATTTTTCAAATGATTTTGTGGTAAAAGAGAAATAGGCCTATAAGACTTAACGTCGTTCGGTGGTTTTCCTGGCTTTGGCAATATTATTACCTCTGCAACATGACAATACCTTTTCTAGACAATTGCTTTAATATTTTACCAGTAATTAAATCGAAGCCTGGTGCTTCAGATTAAGGTTAGTTTTAATTTTTTCTGCTACCTCTTACGGTGTTATCCATGTATATTTTTTGATTTTTGATTATCAATTATAGGCAAATTATTTTCTTCCTGCATCTGATTGTGTGTAAACAAGTCTTATTTCTGTTTATTGTCTCTGGCCCATATCTCTTATAATGGGAAGCTAATAGTTATTTTAATTTTTCTTGTAAATTTTCACAGATATTAATATGTGTCTTTATCTGGTGAGAAGTTCTGTAGGTATAGGTTTGTTGATTCTTCCTTGAGCTTTTGAATTTCTCTTCTTAATTTTTGAGTTTTATTGTTTAAAATGGATTTATTAGATGGATCTCTAGATTGTTGCCAGCTTCTTCTTGCTTCTCTTTTTTCTCTAACAAGTTCTCTAATCTTAACTGGGTAGTTTATTCCCTTTGTCAAATGGGTAATTTCTTTGGTGTTATTGTTTATTGTAGGTAGCTGTTTAAACAATTTTGTTAAAAGTTTCAGCTTACTCCTCAAATTGTTCAGTTTGATCCTGTTTTGAATTTCAAGCGTTGCCAGTCAGTAGTTTTGTTGATAAAAGTAAGTCGGGATGCTCAAAGTCAGAATTACAGCTAAATTATCAGAGTCTAGAATTCAAATTTTTTTTCATCTTCACTTTACTTTAGAAACTTTTCTTGAAATAAATAAATTTAAGAAGTCAGGGATTTTGTTGGTATCCGTGGGCCAGTAAGTAGGTGTACCTGTAGAGTGATAATTGCAATTCTCTTGACAGACAGCTTTTTCTTAATTTGATAAATAACTGCTCTCCATAAAAAATTAAGGTATTAAGAGCCATATATCATAATGCAACTGTAAAACTTTAAACTCGTTTTTATCTACATACATGACACCTTTACCAATTCATGTATGTTATGTTATGTTGGGAATGGGGTGGTAATACACTGCGACCTAAAAGATCTATTGAGCCCTCTTCTGTCGCTAATGCCCCAAGAAAATGTCTCAATGCCTTTAACGTCCCTTCCAATCCTATTTTCTCAAGGACGTGTAGGATTTGGAGTGGCTTCAAGTTAGGTAAATCTATAATAATAATAATAAATGGTCTTTATTCATCATAGTTACACATTTACAATTGCAATATGCCCTTGACCCGTTAGGCTACAATTTGCATTATTATTTGTTACCTTTTTGATAAATGTTAATTTTAAAACACTTATAGAGATTTTTACTAGCTCAGTGAAATTTATTATCAAACGTTACTTACCTTTAGAAATTAAACAAAAATAAATGAGCACTTCTTTTTCTCTGTCGTGAATTCGGCTTTTCAAATTAGGAAATGTTGGGCACCAATAATTCTCTTTTTTATTTTTTAAAGCTAGTGAGAATTGTAAATTCTAGCTTTATCAATTAAAAGAAGTTAATAAAAATTATACAGAATTTAGTGGGTGAAAGAGAATTTTTGTGACCTTTAAAAAATAAGATTCAACATATATACTTATAAAAATCAATGATTTTATTAAAAAAAGAAATCTTTTCGAAAACAATTATTTACAGTAAACCAGTATCAAATTGTGATTCGTACATAAATAACTAGTCACTAGTATTTACCACTTTTTACATTGTTAGCTAACCATCCTTAATTAGCCATAGGTAGTCGAGATTTCTTCCTTCGGAAACCAACGCCTTCGAAATACAGCTGTCGCTTGTCCAAATCAACGAGTTTTTATAAGATCCTCGAAAACCAACGTTCTGATTGCAGCTGTTGTGTAGATTTACGGCTTGTGACGATATGGCTGGTTTTTTATGTCTTATGGCTTATGTCATATGGCTTACGGCTTATGGCTTACGGCTTATGGCTTACAGCTTATGGCTTATGGCTTACAGCTGATTCTATTCGTTTGCTAGACAAAAATAGATTTTGTTTTTCACGTGGTTCTGTACGATATATAAATTTGAAACATCTACTTTTTTAAAAAAAATGAACCAATCAGATAATAAAAACTAGTGACTATACATATTGTGCCGTTCTAGCAACCAGAATGAATCATAAAAATATATTTAACTTTACTATTTAAAAAGACTAATAATTAACAAAAGGTTTGAATAATATTTCTACTGAGATGTTTAATAAAGACATTATATACTTTTTTTTGCTTACCACTTGAACAGCCGATATACCACCAAAACAATTGAAAGGTAACGATAAAATGAAATTTACGAATCTAATTTGAGATAGTTTGGTTAGTGGCACTCCCACTTCAAGAAATTTCCCTTTCTTCAGAATATTGTGTGTTGGCGATAATTAAATTATACCGGATGGCACACATTTAAAATAACATTTTATAATTAGACTTTTAAAATGATACACAATAACAAAAAAAAGAAGGAAAATGATGAAAAGGCGAAGTTCAGCACAAGGCTGTTTTTCAACTTAACCTGCAACGCAAATAAATACATTCTATTTCATACACAAAATGAATATTGATGAAAACAGCTTAAATTATATTTACAAAAATAATTTTTCAAGAGAGTATACCTATTTCTTGACAGTTCATGTTTTCGTTTTATAATGCAGATTGATTAGCTAAAAGGTTTTCTTTGAGACGTTTCTTAAAATTAAGAATACTGTAGGATCTATATTCCGCCGTTATATCATTATATTTTTTACTAGCAACGTACGAGAATGATCTTTCGAATAATGTGGTACAATGCATGGGTACTACTCCCTCTTCTATTTGATATTCTCCTAGATACAGTGCCCTTGGATTTTGAAATGCTACACATTCAGTAATAATGTCAATGGAGGTTTAGTCCTCCTCCTCACAGAATCTGTCCTCTACTACTCTCAGTTTACTAAGATGTCTTTTTAGTTGGCAATGCCCGGTAAGTATCCCTGTTACGATACGTAGCCTGTTTTTGCTCAGGCAGATGCAGGCTTCCGATCTTTTCTGGTTATATTCACCCAGAAGTATCTTAGCCTGTCTCAACCCCAAGAGTTTGTTCCAATTATCGGTTCTTCCACTGCCCAATTATTTTTTAATCTCACCTAATATTATGTTACTGGTGATACCGCAGAACGGCTCGGTCCTATAAAAGGGTGTTTGAGTCCCTTTCCTTGCAAGACTATCTGCAATCTCGTTACCCTGTATACCGTTATGTCCCTGGACCCAAGTGAGAATAACTCTATTTTTCTCGCCTAGCTCATTCAATTGTTCTAGGCATCTCCAGGCCACTTTTGAGCTGATTACGTAAGAGCTTAGCGCTTTGATGGCTACTTGACTATAGGACATGATGATAATCTCTTGTTTATGATAGTTTCTTTCGATGTTAAACTGGATACACTTCTCGATAACGTGAA